GCTTTGCTTCAGGTTACTCCCTCAGGTTTGCCTTCTTGAAGCTTGTCAATCCAAAATCTCTAAGCAGACATTTCCATTTCGGTAATGTTCTTTTCTGAATGGCGTTTCCATTTCCAAAGGTGTTGGTATCTGTTCTGATTATCTGTCTTTTGAGTTCCAAAATCTGATAAAATCTCCTGGTGATGAAACCTGGGTGGAATTTCCCACAAACACCCATTGTCTTTAATACCGACAGTTGTTTTTCTTCACTAATAAAGTCCCTCCCTCCACTGACAGACAGTTAAATGTGATGCTTAATGAAACAAATCAAGTAAACTGGGATGCTCCTATTGCTGAATTTGGTTGTCAGTAGATTCACACAATCTAGCCTTTAGCATTCTTTACTTCTGTGATCAATTTCTCAGTGTTGTTTCTGCCACAAATTTTTCTTTGTGTTTCTGCCAGAAGACAGCCAAACCCCAACACACTAGCTTCGAGTTCCTGGTGTGTTTCTTCCTCTCTAATGCTTGTGTTTTACCCAGTCATGGTCACAGATCAAAAAAAAGTTTCCTTGAGAAGAAATTTTTATCTGCAAGGCAAGTATCAAGCCAAATCACTAAGTCTGATGCTCAGCCAGCCCTCTGAAGGCTTAGGAAGATGTTCTGCTTTGTTTCTGTGAAACAGGCTTCATGAACCTTCATCTTGCCCTTTGTTCTCTCTCCCCATCATCATTCTCTGAAGAAATTTTATCGGGATTCTACTTGCCTCCAGCTTTGGCACAAATCTTTATATACAAGGTACTACTTGCACTCAGACTGTTCTGCTAACCACCCCAATGAACTTCCCTCATGCATAAACATTCAGGATCCTTTGGCCACACTTGGTTTCTGCATGGGGAAAAGAATGAGGGAGAAGAAAAAGTAGAAACATATTTTCTTCCAGTTCTGTTCCCTGGACTGAAAAAGAAACGGAACCTGAACTTCTTGAGCATTTTTAACTTAGTCCCAAGATGTTCTTGGCAAAAATGTTTATGGCAATTTGAGTTCCCATGGAAGCTACTCCACTGGTTCATTTCTAAGGCAAGCAGTTGTGTTTCCTCATTGCCTTACACGTCAGATTCAACTGATAAAAGCTACGATTGATATTGTTCCTGAATAAGATGCTACTCAGAAAACTATCCCTACCACTAAAGTGAAAGTTTGCATCTTTCTCTTCTCTCCTTTCCTCCTGATGGAAAAAGTCTGTAATCTTATTAACTGCAACAGCTGTAAATAGTTGCTGTTCCAAAGCAGTCCCACATGGGATGGCCCTGCTTCCCTTTAACTTTGAGCTCAAAGAACAATCACTCACCCAAAGTCAGTAAAGCTTTACTGCTCTTTAGCTCAGTAGATTCAAATTAACTAGTTCTTCTAAAATAAACCTTTTTGATACAGGGTTTCACAAATCTCCTTTTCAAGCCACAGTCTCCTATTCCCCCTCTCCAACTGCTGTCAATGGTCTCTTCATCCATGTTTTCAGATTTCCACATTCTTCTCTCCTGGATTGTGTCCTCAGTTATTCATCTTAATAGCTCCCCTGGACTCAGCCTGGAACCTCCCTTTAAGTCACTTGCTCAGTCATCTAATCATACCCTTAATCCTTCCTGGCAGATCTAACCCCAACCAGCTACCCAAGCCGAGAGAAAGAAGGAAGCCCTGCCCTACCTATCACATGTAACCAGTCTTTTTTACAGAAAGAATGGCATGGAATTCCTAGATCATCTTTCCTGATAGTAACTGTTACACCAACCACCTTTTTTTTTTTTTCTCCTGATGACCGCTAAGAGCATGTTTTTGTCCCTTCTATCTCTCCTTGAAGTTTGTAACTTCCTAAATGATCTCCTTCAGCTGTTTCAGGTGAATATATGGTTACAATGGATTTTAGGCTTTCATGAAAGGGGTCTAAATAGCTAATCAAGGAAGGAGAGAAAAAAAGCAGTTTTTCAACAAATTAACAAGCAAAAGCATTAAGCTAAGGCTGAAAATCTATTTGATAATATATATAAGGAAAAAAACGTCACAGAATACTGTTATTCCCAAATACAAGATTTGAAAAAGCAAAACCACAAACAAACTAGCTTTAGACAGTATACTTAATGCTAAAAAAATTGTGACATCATTTAAAAAAATTCCAGTTATGGTCATCATATACTCGGTCTTTTGGGGTTCTTCTTGGTCTCAGAAAAGGTCAGTTGCTTTTTAAATAGCACACAGCCCGGGAGAAAAAAGACCAAATCTTTACAGCACAAAAATAAAGGGGCACACAACTCAGCGGGTTGTTCTGGCACAAATCTGCACAAGTCTCATCACAGGAGTCTGGTGCAGTATAAGAAAACACCTGCTGGCAGGACAATCCTGCTGAATACAGAGCATAGGGCTAAAGACAGACTTGAGTGTCCCATACAAACTGGAAGTGAAAACTGGAGAGAATAAGTAAATTTGGTTTTATATGAATGAGAAGTTTTTGTGTAGGAGTAGTAGTGGGAATAAAATTTCTTCACATTTTATTGTGTAATTTTGCTGTGTGGTAGTGTTTTAGTATGATTTATTGTGTAATGCTATTGCATGGCATAATTTCTTGAGCAACTTTGCTGCGTGGTATAGTTTTTTTATTTAATTATATTGAATGTTAAGCAATGGTCTTGCATGCCATAATTTGTGTTTTCTGTTGAGCAATATCATTGCCATAGTTCTTGACAAAGGTGAATTGCATGAATTCACACATCAGTGCTGAATTCGTGATTTTAACATATATTTACTCAGAGATGGCAAATGGAGACAATTATTTTTTTCTGAACAAAGACACATGCAGAAAAGGAGCAAACCAAGCAGGTATTTAAGTGGAACTCAGGGCACTAAGATATGATTTCATTAAATATCAATGCAGCATTGCCTCACAAATGACACTTTCTTATCCAGAGCTACCTTGTCACTGCTTTGTGTGATATTACATCCATACTTGACTGTAAAGACTACAGGAGGACCTTGGTTTACGTACTACTGTGTACAAACAAGAACAGTAACACACTTTTGATGTGATTTAGGCTCTATCCAAAACTATCCTTGCAGGGACCCACTGAAATCCAGAACCTGAACAAGAAACTCTCCACCTCTTATACAAAATGCAACCAATTACTTCATTACAGTGGAATCCTGTGTTAACAGCAATACTACTGAACTTGGAGCAGTAATTTAAAATTTTGCATTAGTACATTAGTAAAAGACTCAAGCACGTTTTAGATGCCATAACAATGTCGTCATACTACTGCTTAACATTCTCTGAAGAAGCAAAAGGAAGAAATAAAAGCCTACTCTATATGTAGTATTAATCTAAGTTATTTAGCTTTACATTCCTCACATAGACTTGCCTTTTCATCCCTCTTTTTTCTCCAATCATTTTGGCTTACAACAAACATGGTCTATACACAGACTTAAATAACATGTTTGAAGTCCAGGAAATGCATCAGAACTTGAATTCTTTTTCAAACAAATCAAGTAATCTGTAAGGATTTCAACTTTGTACCCACATCTGTTTTTACATCCATCTAAAAATGCTATTGATTGGCTAGGATAGCATCTATGTCATGCATTACCTGACAGTCTACAAACAATTGGATGTTACAAGAGGCATAGAAAGAGAGCAAACACTGGTAGATTACAATGCAGTCAGTGCTGCTGCAAGCATTTTGTTTGATCTCATATTCTGGCAGGTTTTAAATACAAAAGAAAAAAATATGTACACAGGTTTAGTTTTTAAAATACGGCAAACCCCAGAAGATAGGCTGGGAAGGCAAATTGTGAAAAAGAGTGAGCTCCTTCCATCTATAACATAAGATTAATTTATTATCTGACAGATGGCAGAAGGGAGGGGGTGGAAAAGAAGAGACTGCTGATGCAGTGAGCTTCCTGCCTGTAATGAAGGCCCCACATTCTCACTTATTGTAGTGCCACAAAACACATCCATAGTTGCGTTCACTCCAGAGTTTTGCTCCATGTATTTCTAGGTTTAAATCCAAATAGCCTAGACATTATCACTTCATGGACAACTGCAAAATGAAGAAAACATCAAGAAAAGGGATTCTTGTCGACTGCCCAAGGCTACTCACAATACCAACTACGAAAGCTGCGACTCTACCCCACTCATTTCATTTGACTAATGAGAGCGAGCTATTCGCGCTGACGAATACTTCCAGAGCTCCCCATCATTGGAGCAAGTTACCATCTCATTTGCTGTCCCAGCACTGAAAGCTGCTTTTTTGCATTTCTCCATACTCCAAGACATTTTCTCTGCCTTCAGCATCTTCCACATTGCAGTCATGGGGAGCCAATACAAAAACGGAACGGATTGAAAATGGAAAACAGCAGAACCGACCCAAATGCCCTTATTATAAAATGAAAAGCTTCTGGACTGATGGCAACAATCACCTCCTCATTTAGTTTGCCACACTCCAAGCGATGCTGTCACAGGACTCCCACCTGCCGCAGAAGCCAGAGGCCACCTGAGCTCCGGCCCGAATTACCGGAGGGCCCCGCTTACCCCCGGCACCGGGTTCCCGTATGAGCACCCCGAGGCACCCCGAGGCGAGGGGCACCCGGAGGAACCACGGCTCTGGGATGCAGATTTTGCCACATCCAGCCCGCGGGCGCCCAGGGGACGCCCTCACCTTGCCGGCAAGAGATGCCCCGCGCGCCCCGGGGCCGTTACACCGGGATTAAGGCAGATAAACAAACAAAGCACGCAAGCACACCCGGAAGGACGAGGAGGGGACGCGGCGGGGATGGCCACCCCGCCGCGGTGCCAGGCCCGGGGGACCCGGGCCCGGGACCCAGCCCCGGGCCCGCCCGCCGCCTCAGCCCCCGGGGCGCGCGCCGCGTCTCCCGGGAGACGGAGCCATTTTGAACCGCTGTGACAGCAGAGGGATGGGGGGGGGGGGGGGTGGGCGCCAGGAACGGCGATGGCGGGTCCGGGGCTGCCGGTATTACCTCGGATGCTCCAGGTCCAGCGGTAGAACTCGAGGGTGTCGTTCACCACGCTGGACACCAGGCCCATGGCGCGGGGGGGCTCGGCGGCGGCGGCACCCATGGTGAGCAGCAGCAGCAGCGGCGGCGACGGAGCCGGGAGACCTGTCTCGGCGCGTGCGTCCGTGCCTCTGCGCCGGGGCTGCTGCTGCTGCTGCCCTTCTACAGCCGGGGATGTGATTTAAATCTCTATCTCTCGGTATCTTCCCTCCAGACTCCGCCTCGCTCCCGTCACCGGCTCCCGTGTCCCGCGGGCAGGGAGGAGGGCGGGGAGGCGGAGGCGCGGGGGGAGGGAGAAGCGGCGGTCCCGGCTCCGCAGCACCGTGCGGAGCGGTGCGGTGCGGTGCGGTTCCGTCACGTGACCGGCGGCTGGCTGCCCGCCGGCCGCTGCCCGCGGGGTGCGCGGCCGCCCGGCCCGGCCGCGCAGGCGCAGTGCGGGCGCCCAACCGCCTCCCGGCTGAGGGCGGCGGAGCGGGAGCGGGAATCTCAGCGGCCGCTGGGGCTCCGTTGGAGACAACCCCACACACACCTTTCTCCACCAGTGGGTGTCCGAGGTGGAAAAGAGGAGCTTAATATCTTCATTTGCCTTTTATTTTCAAACAGGTGTTGCTTTTACCGGACGGGAAATAAATATTTCAGTCAACTTGTATTTCCTTACTTCTTTTTATCTTTTTAGCAGTTTGGACTTCCCTTCTTCTCTCCTTCCCCCCTCACTCCCCTTTGACGGACAGGCCAAGGTGTCGATGTGAGTGGCGCTCGCTTTACCTCAAGCTGGTGGTACCGAGGCATCGGCTTTTCCTCTGGCTGCCCCGGGAAGCCTCCTCTAAAATCCCTTTCCCTCCCAGCATGGATAACACCAGCGATCGCCACCGGATCTCACCGTCTCCCTGCCTCACCGGTGGTGGCTGGTGGCATTTCCCAGACCAGTGACGTGCCTGCCCTCCTCCAGGTGCCATCAAGGTGGCTTTTACACTCTTTCCCCTCCATCTCCTGGACCAAAGCCTTTACGGCCACTTCATGGCACAGAGAGGTTCGCCTGGCGGGACCATTGCTGGGGGCTGCAGGAGGAGCCTCCATGCAAAGGCCAGCCGGGCTGTAGGGGCAGTCCCAGTTCATTCTGCACCCTGCGTTTCAACCCCAACAAACCCTCTGCCCGGCGTGGGTGCTCCAGCTGCTCCTCACACCCTTTGCCGCGTATCTCTGCGTGCCGGCTTGTCTCCCGCTCTCCCTCTCCCACAGTCCCTGCGGTGTGGATGGCTGCATGACACCCCTGGGATCGGTTTCCCCGCTGAGGGGTAGGAGGGGAGCTGCTCCACCTGAGTTGCGAGCTTTCCTCCTGGCAGACAGCAGATCAGATGGTATCTACGTCTCCCTCCCCTGGTGCCCCAGCAGCTGTGTCACTTGGTCACGGTGAGCACAGCTCGCACTCCTCCTCCTGGGTGAGCCACCCTCGGCTCTGCTCCTGGACCACCCTGGCTTCTGCGATCCCAGACCTATGGACGGGAGACGCGCCCCGGCCATCGCTAGTTACTCCACGGCGAGCAGAGCTGCTGCACCTGCAGCTTGGAAACCAGCAGGTGTTTGGGAGTAGGGATCACCGGGGCAAGGAAGCGGACCCATGTCAGCCCCCGGAGGCCTGGATGGACAGGGGAGTCCAACTTATCCCAGTGCTGCCTGGAAGTCGGAGCCAAAGCAAGGTTACCTCATGCCGATGTATGGACAGCTGCTACTTCTCTCACGTGAGAAGAAACAATCAAAACTGCGTGAATTGCACTGACTTGAATTACAGTTTATTTTGATGGTGCTGGCCATGGCAGGAGGTCTGGTGAGAGCTCTCAGATGGATCTGTCACTGGGTAGGGCAAGGTGAACACCAACCTGCTTCCCAACTTGCAGGCAGACAGCGCAGTGTTAGCTGTGGTTCCTGTGCCTCCTTCAGGTGAAACCACTGCGGCTTATCATTTACTTGATGTGTGGTTGGCATTGTCTAAAGCACAGCTTCAGAACTTTTTTAAACATTATCATTTAAATCAAAAGGAAACCAGAGGAATGAGTCATAATCCTCAGACTGGTATATTACCATTTGCCTTGGCCACAGGTTTGAAATAGAATGGGCTACTGAATGAATCAACATGACAAAGGATCGCACTCCCCTGCTGTCCCTGATGTCAGGCAAGATGTGGAATAAGTGGAGTGCCACCAAAACGAGCAGTAAGGATCCACAGTCTACCAATGAACAAAAAGGAACAAGATATATTAGAAATATTAATACCTATTCATAATAGTAATGATTTATATTATATCCTAGATATGATTACTTCTTTATTAAAATTATTATTTATTCGATGGAAGTATTTTTTGCACAATTGACACCAATAATTATTGTATATAAAATATTTATAGGATTCAGTTTATTGTTTTATCTATTTCAGATTACTGTTCTTGATTGCCATTAATTCCTTTATATTGGCAATATGATTGTATGCAGATAATTTTACAGAGCGATTAAGCCTTGAGAAGAGCCACAACAGAGCTGAAGAGCTTGGAGAACAGGGAGAAGATGAACAATCTAATCAGAGTAACTTCTTTTGTGCTTTGACTTTGGCTTTAAAAAATGTGATGAAGTTTATGACAAAATATTCTCACTAGTTTAACTTTTAGCCTGCAAGCATGTGGACATGCTTTTCAAACTAGATCTGTGTCTGAGGGCTTCCAAACACATCCCACCTAGTTTCCTCTGTTTGTGCACCCAACAGGATGTGCTGGTTCTAAGAAAGCTGAGACCTGTGTCTTCCAGTTAAAGAGAGCAGAAGGAGGAAGACATCCAAAGGCATAGCATTGAAGCAGCCCCTGAGGATATCTGCAGCATGATAGACAGAAAAAGATGATTTTTTAACATCATTAATTAGTCAGTGTTGTCATCTTGTACTTGGTACATGTTCCTAAAACCTGGACATCTCAGATGGGCAAATTTCCGCTCAGAAAAGGCAGGCCTGCAGCAGCTGACCCCAGAAGAACACATGAATTCCCAGCTGCACTCTGGTCATTTGTCCAGCATTCCAGGGCACTTGTGCCAGCAGCAGGCAAGTCTGTGTGCTTCAGGAAAGGTGCAGAAGGTAACAGGAAGTTGTGGGACAGCCTGCTGCAAGGAAGGTCTCCTCCCAGTTCCCATTCCACAGACAAAACTGTTCGTATTCCTTCCAGACCTTTTTGTAAAAAAGCCAATGAGATATCTCAACTCAGAACTATTTCAAGCCATTTTCTGCTTCTTCATGACACAAATAAATAACAACAGAAATGTTATGATGTCCAGGTGATCAGTGCATTTAGTAATGCACGTGAAAAAACATGTTTTTAAAAAGCATTTATTCATGGATTTGTGAAGCATATTCTAATGTTTGATGAATGAGTAGATGCTTCTGCACTTACTGAAAGTATTCCTGCTCAGGTTTTGCTTCAGGTTAGCAATGAGATTGTTGTAAGGGGAAAACGAAATACAAGTATGTTGGATAGTATTTATGAAGTGTATTAGGAAGAAAGCAGTCAGAGCTTTGTACGTTGCTGCCAGTAATCCCTCCAGGCAGATCACCAACAGACAAAAGCAGTGGTAAAAGAACTTTGCCTTGCTACAAAGAGAGTCACCACAACTAGGAACATTTCTGGTGAGAAACAATAAAAGTGCTTGAATCAATGCATTTGACAGAAAATCAAAATGTTACACCATGCAGTAAGGGGCAACCTATTAACTTACCAGTAAATAGGGCATACAAAGTATTATATGTGTTAAGCATGACCAAATTTAAATTGTTCAATAGACCTTAACTTTGGAGATGTGTTTTGATTACTTTATTGAATTATCATATTTTTTCATTTGATTCCATCAATGTTTTAAGAAGGAAAATTAAATAAATTAGCACAGAAATTTGCAGTGCATAGGATTTTCTTGCACAGCCTGTCAAATTTCTGTTACTTGCATGGAAGCTTTCTAGCTGATATGCCTTATAAAGACTTCTAGGTGTGCCAGAAAAGCTTGTCTGATCTTTGGATCAACAAGTACAGGCTTAAGTGTATGCATATGCAATAGTACAACTGCTCTCTGCTTCAATACAGAGGCTGGTTTAAGGCAGCTTTATACTGCACATGCTTAAAAGAAGCTGTTTTCAAACAACCATAATTTTTTTAAAATAATAACATTAAACCCAACCATGTGTCTTTCAGAAGTAATTAAATTTTCTTGTCTATTACGTAACACGTTGTTAACTCCATAATTTGAGGTTGGGTAACTCAGGCATACAGGGATTACACAGCTTTTGCACAGGGAGTCTTCCGTAGGATCTGAAACAGCTCCAGCTCTTTTGTCTTCTAAACTGTGTGCTAGATGCAGTCTGTCCTTTCATATATTCAACTGCATCAGAACAGGTTTTTTCCAAGCGAAATATATTGGAATGATCAGAAAGTATCCAGAGATGTTAATACTCAGTGCAGGCTTTGCCCAAAACTTACCTTAGGTGTAGGTTCCTAGTAGGTTCCAACCCACTTGCATCCGCCAGCACCAGCACTGAATTTGATTTCTGGTCTGTACCAACTTCGTGTTTTGAACATCAGACATTTTTGCTGTGGCCCTATCTGAAATATCAAAATTAACATATGTTTAGTATCCTGGCTTAAGTGCTCAGGGGCAAATTCTTAGTGATGTAAGTACAACTTTTGCTCCCACAGGACTCTATATATATATTAACATTTCTTCTCCTTATTTCTACCCAAAAATTTGGTCTCGAGAAGAAGACCAGGGAAGTGGTGACAGTTTGCTCCCAAGCTACATCAGGTTTTATTCCCAAGTAAATATAACTATGGTTTGACTCCAGATCATTATGTTTACAGGTTTTAAACTGTAGAACTAACCCCATTGACTGCAAATCTGGACAGTGACTGGAAGTGTTGGCCTGCAGTGCTGGGCTGCATCCAACTTAAACTGCTGCTGTTCTGTACTGGTCTAGAAGAGGACCCATTAATCTAGTGCTTCCCAGCCCCATTCTGAGAGATTCATTTATAATTAATTCCTCTGTGGGAGTTTTCACCCTAACCAAGAAGCTAATGTGTCTGTGCAGTATATGAGATGTGTTGTATACCCAGCAGGTACATGTTCATAGCTTTACCTGTGTTTCAGCTTCCTTTTAAAAATGAGTGTTTTGCGGATGATAAAAGGACGTATGCATCCTACCTCATTCTGCCTTACTGATACTCTCCTTACATGGTTTCTCATACTTTTACACAGCTAAGATTTTTATCTGCAGTGATATCTGTCACAGCATCTATCATTTGTGAGGTGTGGCAAGCCCGCTTTTGCAATGAGGGCTTCATATGTGTACATGCTGGAGAAGGGCTATGCCAAACTATCAGCTGATGTTTTGAGGGCACTATG